GCCGGTGTTGGGTAACGTTTGCACACTATGTTTCAAGTTTGGCAATCATAAAAGGAAAGATACGCGTTTGGAGGTATTTGTGGAAGATTGAAAAAGCGATAAATGCAAAGATGATTTTAACCTCTAACTGGTAAGGCGAAGTTTATCGCGTCCAAGCAATTTTTACTTTGGTAATGATAGTAATTTGGAAAACAGCTACTGTGAGATGTCGTGCGTAACGGCAGCTACCTGCTAATCAGTATGATTCAATCAGTTTTTAAATACAGTAATAAATATGATATATATATATATATAATATTATTGTACTTGTTTCATTAACTGTAAATTTCTAAGGACTTTTATAGAGTTCTGTACATATATTATCATTCAGTTTACGTGAGAAAATGACTACCATACCAGTTATTGGTTAAAGTTGAATCACGAGTGCATGTTGAATAAGAAACCAGCAAGGGAATAAAACACGTGTTGATTTTTCGGTTACGTGTAGCTTATAAAATTCAGTTTTCCTCGAATCGATTACGTTTTGGTTGGCTGCGGCCGATTCGTAGAAGCGTTCATTACACCGCGTGCATTTTTATGGAGAACCTGCAACGCATCGAAATCGATTTATCGAACGAGTAATATTTTGACGATACCTCGTTAGGCCATGAGAAATCGAGGCGTCAATAATAAAGTAATGGATATAATTTCCGCTTTGCATATATAGAAACTGTGTTGCATATAGTGATGGAAAAAGGAGAAGAGTTAAGAACGACGCATAGCTACGCACCCGGTTGATACTTACGCATACACGCTCGTAGTATAAAAGGACCTGTCTCCATGAATGAAGTCAAGTGACCACGTGACACAGAAAGAACGACGTAAGGAACGTGCGCGTGAAAAGCGTGCCGGTGGTTTACGCGCGACGCCAAAAGTTCGGTGATAGGCGGACAGATGGCGCGGATGTCGCGTGGCGGCTGCTTGAAACACCTGACTGGTGCCTAGCAGTGCAGCATGGACTCGTGCGGCAAGCGCACACTTCTTTTAAAACAGGTAGCACGCGCGGTCTCAGATAATTCTTTTTATTTTCGCGTCCGAGCAGGCCGTATTCAATTAGGCATACGCGAGTGACAGTCGACGAGTGTGTAATGTCCGTCGACTGACAGCCCTTCGTGTGTCACGAATCGAGGGGGACGAGATCGGACGAAGAAGATTCGTAAAGTTTCACCGACCTCGAGTTTCTCATCCGTGAACGGTGCACTCGTTTCGCACGCGAATTCTGTCCTATGCGCAGTAATAATGACAGTTCGTTCGATCTGCGCACCTATCGATTACGCGCCCTCAAAGGGCCAACTTTGCACCACACAAGGTTAAAATGCGCGGGAAAAATGCGCAAATCGTAACGAATTGACGATTTCGTATATTCTATGTAATCGTGTCTCGTCCACGTATAGTCGCGTTCGTTTGGGTTTGAATAATATGCGAGGATTGACGCCCGGTACGCGATTCCGGCATTCGAACTTCCCGCTTCGAGCGCTCGATAATTTCGAGCTTTCCTCTTCGAAGCGCCGATTCTCGCGGCTCGTGAAAATGTGATCGAACGGCATACCCTGTGTCGCGCGACGGATTTTTCGTGCCCGGTAAGCGCAAATCTTTTTTCTATCAAAATGACGGTGAACCGATCGGTGATAACAATGGTGTTGATGCTGGTGACGAGCGTAATTGTTTTGGTTCATACGAAGGACGTGACGACACTGGAGTACGACGATCTCCTTCCGGTGAACGAGACCAACGCCCGGCACCGAGTCCATACAGGTCAGATTGAATGATTTTTGCTCGTTTTCCTCCATCTTTCTCGTTCGTTTAATTTATCTAAACTTGTTATTCGATGTTTTACAAATGTATCAAAATTTGAATATTATAGAGATTGTCTCCTATAAATTTTTTAATATTAACCTATATTTATGTGATTATGTGTATGTATATATATATATATATATATATATATATATATACATACATACATACATATATGTAATGAATAACACTACCATACAGACAAAAATTCTACAGTATGTATTTTGAATACTATCGGTAGTGAGCGTTCAGATTCATATATGATTTTTCCCTTACTTAGCGTCGTCAATACGCGACTACATAGTATTATTATTTACATTTGTAAATTTTACTGGATTTACAAGATTTATGGGATAGCATTTTTTAAATAGCTTTCAACGTATTTTACATATCAGTACATAACCGAAAGACTATTTTTACGCGTGAAAAAGACTCCCTTTTTCCCGTTTTGTTCATCCCATTCAATATATTCGAGTTTTCTCGGCAATGATTATACACGTCACGATTTGCATTGAATGTCACCGCTCATTTAAATTATCGAAAGTATCGCTTATGTTTGTTGCACAATGTGTGTCACGATACCTTCTTAAGACGTATGACCTTACTGTGAAGAAAATATTAGCATTGTTAATTACATGTACTATTTTGTAAACTATATATCTATTTTCAATTACCCATATTTTATGATCGTTATAGAAGATAATACAATACTTGAATTACTTTTTTGACGTTAATTTATTCTTTTGGAAGTCTTCACCGTGAAATGAAAAAATAAATAACATTTATAAATGTTTTCTGTTTGCGGTATGGCAATTGCACTGTCTCGAAAAGAACAGTATGACGGTGAATGCTTGAACTTTGTTACCCGTCTTGGATTTGCTAGGGAAGAATGACCTTTGCTCTAACGCTTCTGTGAAAGTATTATACGTTCGCCGAGTAAGGCCTTGTGCCTTTCCGAAGTAATCTTCTAACGCACGCCTACTTTTCATGGGGAAATTTCATTTTTCCTTTGGTTTCTGTGTCGTCGAAATTTAAGTGAAATTGTATTTTCGTCAAATAATTCCACACGCCTCCGTGTTTGGTCTACGTTGTTATTTATAAATAGAACTATGAAATAATCATAAATTTGCCACGCGCATTAAGAAACGCCTGGAAAGCCATTATTAGAAACTGTAATCTGTTATTCTTAGGCGTAATTCTTCGTATATATTAACTTCTAAATATATTTCATGATTCAGATACTTGTAATTAAATTTTCAATATTTCATTCTATTAAAATATTTGTTAATTTCAATAAATTTAAATAATTGCTAAATTTCTATTAAAAATTTTCATTGTTAATTAGAATTAATATAGTTCATCCCATTTTTATTCAATTAATCCTATATCATCGATATTCTGTGTAGTATAATAAAGTTTTCGCAAATTTTTAATTCAAAATAAGCTATCAAGATTAAATAATATAACGTAATGCAATTGACGATATGAAAAACAAAAGGATTTCATGGTGGATATGTTGGAATGATTCTCGATTTATACGGATTCCTCGCTCATAATTCAATGCAAAAGAGGAAAGAGTTTGTAAGATGACTTGACTCTCCACTAGGATTAACGATCACGTATGTCGTTGAACTGCATTGTCCCCGTTGTTTCGATAATTCACGTCGAAGTAACTGGTACTGAGGTAACATCCGTAGCGAAGGTTCGAATTACGTAATTTCTAGCGAAATCTGTCGGTCGGTTGTTTCACTGCTCATTTTTAATTGTGTGCATTATACAGAGAGACAGCTTTGCGACACGATCATTTCGTTTTAATGACACTTCTCAATGAACTTGCTTCATTCGGATGAAACTTTTTCAAATATAGTTTGTTTAATTTTTTTCTTGCTGTTTAACTTTATTCGTTATCGAAACAATGTTTGAAAGGTAGGAGTAATGTAAATTTTAACATTTTGAGTATATACCCTTATTTTCGTACAATATTATTCATATTGTATACTAATTTTTTACCAAGTGTCTTGTAACGTACTAATGTATTTTTGAACTAATTAAACATTTTAAGAACACACACATGTTCATGAGAAGGTTCTGTAAATGCTCGGATGCTTTTGCCAGTCATTATATCCATAATCGCTAGTTTAAGTAAACTATTTTATGTTCAAACATTTCAAGGTCAGAATCTCTCATTCCAATTATTTACATTATTTAATTAAACGATAGCTGCCTGATCATTTCATTAAAGGATTAACGGTGACTAACTAACGCATTCACCTCGTCTAGAAAAATTTCCCACGCCGTAAAAGAATTCGTCGATAGCTATCGTTGGACTGTGTCCATCGCATTAGCTTTAATCGCGTTCGCTTAATTTGCATTCGTTTAGAAAGGCGGAAATGCGTTTCTGTGCGTGTCGAGGGAGGTGTCGTATGCCAACTCGATGAACTCTCAAACGAACGTCTAACTGTGCGTGCAAATTATTTGTGCGATTGCGCTTTCTATCAGCGTACGAACGTTAAATAGAATTTTACGTCGTGTCTTGTCCGTGAACGTGCGCGTTCTTTAATCACTCCTGGCCAAACGATAATTAAGTCAAAATTCTCTGCTTGAGGATCTTCATACACGAAGGCTGCCGGTGTGAAACAATACAGGATATGGTGTAACCTGGACGTGTTGAAACCGTGGTACAACGAAATTGATTCAGAGACATTCTAACCGAGTGGTCGCAAACAATCGGTTTTTCTCTAATTTAATAAGGCAAGGCTATGCACATATTCGTTTTCTATCGTTGTTCATTTCTACGTATGTATTATCATTGAAAAGGCGTGTTATTTTTATAAGAATTTCCTCTCCATTCCGTGATAACTATTTCGTATAAAAATTTTTTTAAAAGATTTCTTTTTGGTCCGAATAAACAAATTTGAAACACTAATTACTAATTACAAATGATCAAATCATTTGTAATTGTAATCACAATTTATGCTTCAAATAACTCACGTCGTTTAGCATAAACGTCTTTTTTCTAATTAACTGGTTATTAATGAAACATAGCTGCAATTTTCGCCGGACAAGCGAATCAAACATTACGAGTTATTTTAGTACGTGAGACACTGTCTGGCACATCTGATGCATATGCATGCACTAAACGTAAACGTGCTGGCAACGTAGAGTTCTTTTTCAACCTTGGTGCGAATGGTATCCCGTGTACGTGTTGAGCCTGTTGTTAAGAGCTCGGTATCGTACGAATTCTACCAATGGTTGACCTGACGAGCCTGATGTGCTCCGAGCGTTCATTTAACAATACAGCAGTTACGATTCGTTAGCATTGTTTACGGTTTGGAACAAGTTCGTTAATAAATTACCTGACATTTTAAGCATGCGGGATGATGACAATCCACGATTGCTGCCTTTTTCGTTCCACAGTTCGACAGTTGCTTGCTGTGTCATAATTAATCTTCTTTCTACGTAAGTGCGATACTTACGATTAGTGTTGTTGGATTTTTACTGAAATTCTTCATGTTATTATACGAAACGTTAATGCGAATCTACAGAAACGTTGTGTTAAAGCATTCGTAATTCTTTTAAATGATTCGCCAATTTAACAGTTTAATTGCGAAAGAAAATCTCAAGAATTTGTCTAATATTTTTTCGCTATTATTCTTTTGCAACCTAGAACCTACAATTTTATGAAGTATAAAGAAGTTGAAGTAGTCACTATAATAAACTATTTTTTTTCAAATCATGGAAATTCTTCTTGTGTCTCATTCGTCATCTCTTTATCGTCATTTGTTTAACGACCTTCTATAAAGTATTTATAGTGTCGTGATTTACAGTGTCGTGATACGTGCTTTCAAATAGTAATTGCCTGATTTTTTTGATCAACATGTGTTTATGTACTATCCGGTATTATTTTAAAATTCTTGCTGTTCTTTAAAACGTGTTAGGTTAGCCATTCGAAAATCTTATCTGCAAGATGTAAGTGTTCGTAGAAGTACAGGAAATGAATTAAAGGTACGCGAAGGGAGCACCATGCACTACAGCGTATAGGAACTATACGTTTTGATAAGAGAATCT